TCACAAAGGATGAATGGTAGAGAAATTAGCTAAATAATATAAAAATTAACATATAATTACTTGAATCTTGATGAAAAAGATGAAGTTGGAGGGGGAGGGGGAAAAACATGAGAAACTATTGATTGTTTAACATCGTATCATGGTACTCAACAGGTGATGTGATATGGAAGGATGATACGCAAACAAAAAAGAACAGTCTGCAATAAACTAAATTTCGAGGACTCTCATGCAAATACAAAACAATACATTCTGTGTTAGCTGCTACGAAATGTCTCCACGTGGCCTACTTCCCAAGCAGCTGTTTTGAGCTACTCATTCCAACTACAAACTGTTGTGATTAGGGATTGACGAGGCTAAAGTTAAAGGATCGTGCTTTCGTGTTGTGTTCTGTTTTGGATTTTTACATTCTCCGTCTCTACTTGTCCTAATATTATAATTCTTTTTTTGTCTTTTAATATGTAGATATATACCTTGAAAGCTTTTGGGTATATTATGTTTTTATTTCATTAGCTGTTGTGGTTATTATTCAGTTGGACAGTTCTCACGTGGATGTAGGGACCGCTCGATCCAAACCTCCCCCATCAAAAGATTTCAGGGGTCCCTTTTGTCCTCCTAAATCTTTGGGTAATTTAGGTATTTATGGGTTGGTCCAAATTGTGTGAACAAATTTGGATCTTATAATGTTTAAGTGATGAGCAGAGAATAGAAGCTATATTGTTAGAGGATACAGATTCTCTCTAATTAGGTGCTAATTGGAGAGCATCTAATTTTCTCAATCCTGATCGTTTATCTGTACTTAGAGAAAAGAGATTATGCTACATATGATTTTCATTATTGCAAGAGTGGTATCCAAAATAGTGGTTTTCATGACAATAGTGATAAACCAACTATTTTGAAAAACTACTCTCGTAAAAATAGAAATCACACATGGCTTAATCACTTCCATCTAAATTGGAGTGCACGGTCGGAATTGAAAGAATTAAATCCTCTCAAATTACCAGCTAATTGGAGAGGATCCGAATCCACTGTTAGTAGAAGTGTTAGTTAGCAATTTCGTTTTCCAATTTAAATTTTTTTGGCAAAGAAAGATAAGTCTAAGTTTGTCTAATAATCGTCTAACAACATTTCTATAAAAGTTACAGGATATAGAATTCAGTTCAAATTACATCAAATCCCTAAACATCCCACGGATTAAAAAAAGCCTACAGCTTCGGTGCTCCATAAAGATTTGTTGGAGCACCGGTGGCATATATGTAAATAATTTCCTTAAAAATAGCTCTCATATTTCTAGGTAGATAGATTTGGCGGTTAGGAGGTATTCCACACCCAAGATTGTAATTAACTATAGGTAAAAAGATTATTTTAGGAAATACAATTTAGGAGAGAAACAAAATTTATGATTAGTTAGAATTCTCCGATTCACGTTACAATTTTTTACCATGTTATCAAGTCATGCTCTGCACTTTCCTGTAGAAAAAAAAAGCTCATCTCTTGAAGATAATGCTCTGCACTCTTCGTCTCCAAAAAATCTCGTGAATGGAACACCATGAAAGGTTCTCTCATCTTATTCTTTTAAAAAAAAATTAATTACATAATATGATGTGGTGGCTTTAGTTGCAGCAACTTATGCTTAAAAAATTTTAATTATTTAGTTTGATGTAGTCGCTTTCGTTGCAAATGATGTAGTCGCGCGCTTTCGTTGCTTCGTTGCAGATGATGTAGTCGCTTTCATAGCAGCAACTTACGTGTAAATTTTTTAATTATATAGGATGATGTAGTCACTTTAGTTACTAAATTAAAAACATAATCTCCATGTTTATAAGCTAATTAATCAAGCCGGCTAAAATTTTTACTATAGAAGTTCTTACAGTTTGCATGCATGCACTATCTCTATCACACATGAACACTATAGAAGTTCCTCCTTCTCTCTCTGATTTCTTGTCTTTTTTTTCTTTTTGTGTGGCGGAACAAAGGCGGTGATCCCCTTGGCTAATTTTTTTTCTTTCGCTGCGTTTAGTTAGCAGTTTAGGATAGAAAGCAGGTAGAAAGTTAATTTTGAAAGACTAAAATACCCTTTTGTTATGTTAGCTCATTTGTTATTTTTGTTAATTTAAAAATTAAAAAAACTATTTTTGGAGCACCAAAACAAACCTCTTAAAAAAAAGGCTCAAACATTTTTTATTATTATTTAGCTAGAAGATCATGTTTGATTAATTTAAGTGCATTACCAAATAAGTCTCGAGGCACGGAATGATTTATGATTGGAACCCAATATCAAATTATGCAAGTATAAAAGATTATAGGATTATTTGTGTGTGTATATAGATTAATGGGTATCCTTGTCATAGGAGGGGATTTCCTCCTTGACGCCTCTAAAATCACTTGATTGAGCGACATTATGGGTGATCCGCTCCGTTGAACTTGATCTACATATTCTAAAACCCCAACACACCAAGTTTGGGGTGAATCCGTCGTCGTTTGACCCTCCATCGAGCCATGTGAAAAGTTCTATTCATTCAAAACCGTTAAAATTGATACGAGTGGATGAAGGGTCAAATCGCTCAATCATGTGATTTTAGAAGCGTCAAGGAGGAAATCCCCTCCTATGACAAGGATACCCATTAATCTCTCTATATATATAATATATATAAAATATATGTAATATATATAACATAATATATATATATATATATATATTGGAAAAGTGAATCTAAGGTGACCCCTGTCTAGGCTCGCCAAGCGGCTAAGGAAGCGGCCTAAAATCACATCATTTCGCTAAATTTTTTTAGGGGGGCGATCGGCGCTCGCGGGTTGAACTTGAATGCTACATCGTTCTTAAAGACAGCAAAGTATACAAATTTTAGGGTGAAGAACCGTCGTGGTTTTGACGCATTTATCGTCTCCATCGCTATAATTTTTAGACGGTTTTGAATGAATACGAAACTTTTTGGGCACGGCTGCTAACTTAAGTGTCTAAAATAGCAACCGGGTGTGCAGCGCCAAATTGGTAATTGTTTGGTTTGAATGAACGTGTAGATCAAGTTTTTGCAACGTGAGCGGGTCCAGCAAAACAAATTAGAAAATGATGTGATTCTAGGTGCCGAGCGTCGCCGTTAGGTGGGAGCGCTTAAGTGGTGTTCACCGTTAGAGTTCACTTTTCGCCGTAATAATATAGTAGTATTATAGGTATTGTATATATGTATATTATATATATTCATATTATATTATATTTATTATAGTACTATTATACTATATTATATATATATTATTTATAGGTATACTATTAGTGGAGTATTTATGGTAGTATGATAAGTTGGAGGGTATAGGGTTAGGTGAGATGGGATGAAGAATGGGAGTAATCCCTTGTTAGCGGCGTAAGGTCTTGTTTTAATAGCAAGGCTTGGTAATGATGTTGGCCGTAATCTTGGCGCCGTCTTTTACATCAGCTAGTGCCAGACTCTGAAGATAGAACCTCACGCACGTTTTCAGCTAACCGTCAATGTAGTATGTAGGGGGACAAGATTAGGCGCGTCACATCACTAACCCGAAGTTATTAGAGCAAGCTTGGTACGCGGTGTAAGTTTCTCGCATTTCGTCTCTTCTTCTCGGGGCCGAGCTGGCCTGGGACGAGGCTGACAGTCTCTCTTCTTCTGCTTATAGGGTATAGGTATATTATTATATATTAGTATTTAGTATTATTATATAGGATATATATAGTATATATCATGCACAGGGGCCCTTATGTCATGAGTAAATTTGCAGCCAAATACCGTTCGGCGCAAAAGACTTTGTGTTTGCAAACTTACCCCTTAAATCATCTATTTTGAAAAATATTACCTTCAAAGCCATTAATCGTAACTTTAATAAGTTAATTTGTAATCGCTGTGTAAAAATTATCAAAAAAATAGTTAGATTTTTGGCATCCAACTTATGATTTGTTGATGTCAAGGGCATTATTTCACAAACTCAATGTTTTGGAACGTACGTTTGCAAATACCTATAATTTAGGAGGTATATATACAAATAATCCAAGATTATATTATTGAAAAAAGTGGTACATGAAGTAAACTACAGCTGTCACAACGAAATAAAAGGAAATAATAACAAATTAAAATGTATGAATGATCCCACCGCAAATCACTGCGAAAATTCACTCTCCAATCAACGAAAGACAATAAAAAGTTTTCCAAAGTAGCAAATGGTACTTTTAGATATAAGTCCCTTAAATCTTAATAATTTGAATAACCCCTCAGTTCATTGAAATTATTATTGGGTCCCCTAGATCTTAAAATTGATGTCAAGTTAGCCCTTCTAATTCTTTTAGATATCATCAATTTCCGTCATGAGCACTCTCAATGACGTTCGAGAATGACGACGCCTAGATGAGTCACTGAAAAGTTTTAGAAGTGTTATCGAGGGAATCAAGCAGCTCAAGAAGGACTTCAATGTGGTATGTTACTATTTTGTGAAGCGCGGTGATAACAATATCGCTCATCGTTTAGCCAAATAGGCTCCCAATCTTTAAGATTGTACGTCATGAGTAGGACTGATATATCCCTGATGAGATTCCTTCTATAAAGGTCTTTTCTTGTTAAAAAAGAATCAAAAATCCATACCTGTTTTAAAGACCGCTTATATCCATTAAAATATCTTTCTCTAACCGCTAGTGAGGTAAAATAGAACATAACCCTCTATGCTCTATGACCAATTAACTCAAATCAGAGCTACCACATTGAACACAAATTATAGCGAAGAGGCCAATTTGAAGCGAGCTATAAATTGCGTGCGCGCGCGCGTGTGTGTGTGGGGGGGCTGATTTCGAAGTACTAAAAATGTAAGGGAGTTATTTAAAAAATCCATTGAGAAAACCAGAAAGCACGTTACAAGTGGAGAGGCCAAAGGCAAAGCTTAGCTGTCAATGCTCTCGCATTGTCCTCTCGGTCCTTTGTTATAATCACATCATCTCTCTCACGAAGATAGAAT